TCTCTCTCTCTCTCTCTCTCTCTCTCTCTCTCTCTCTCTCTCTCTCTCTCTCTCTCTCTCTCTCTCTCTCCCCTTGAGAATCTTGACTCTGAATATCCGCTGCTACTCAGCTCTACCTCCTATCACTAGCTATGCGGCTATGGCCGCCTTCCCTCTCAGTGCAGCACTGCCCACCAGGGCTCTCGCGCGCATGCTACTTGCAGATAGCGCACAAGCACTTCAGCAGCACTTCCACACTTCTCACGAATGAGCAATCCGCTTGAAATGTGGCTGGCCAGTCCTTAATTGACTTGGACTGAGCTTCAGCTCGTCCCAACCTCTGCTTCTTCTGGTTTGACTTGGTACCGGTACCACATGTCCACGGCCTGTTTGCTTCAGAATGTCAAGGCCTGGTACTTTCCCGAATTTTCATTGGTGTGCTGCTGCTTGGGCCTGTGAGTCACGACTTTTCACCTGTGGAACATGACTTTTGACTGTGGTATGTGACTCTTGCCTCTGGGACACGACTTTTGCCTGGGGAAGTGTCCTTTGCGTGTGGGATATGACTTTTCAATATGAGACGTGACTTGTGCTTATAGAACGCAACCTTTGCCACTGGAGTGTGACTGTTCACCGGGTGCCTGTTGGACTTGACTCCTAAGGTACCTGGCAGTGACCTTTCTGAACTGACCGAGTTGGCCTCCCTTGGCCTGGGACCTTGACCCTGAAATTCGAATTTGGGGTCTTCGTCGTGGAATGCCTTTGAATTATGAGCTTCTGACATCGGGTTCATTACAAAAGCAAAAAAAAAAAAAAAAACAACCAACAACATTGAACTTCAGACTTGCTCGTGTGGCTGTGAGGGAAACACCAGTTGTGTCGCCACACAAACAAGAAAACAGCAGGCGTGAAAAGAAAAAAAGAAAGAAATGAAAACAACAGATCTGAGTGAGTGCCTCTCAAGGCCCTTCTTCAGAATTGGTACCATCAAGACCCTTAAAGAACCTTAAACCACCAATACTTGGGCCATACATCGGCCGCGGGCCCTTGTCGTATATGTGCCGCAACATTCGGGCCTCGGGTACCAGAGCAAAATGGCTGGCGGCACCAGCCAAAGAACATTGCGCCGGCTCGTTTGTTTTTGGCGTGCAGCACATTCCAGCATCGGAGAAAAGTGCCTCACAAGTACTGGTGGTTTAAGTCTCTCTGACATTCATGATTTCTCAGACTGGTGCTTTCTGATCCCTGTCAAGTTGGTGACACTGCCACACTGATTTTTGCACATTATGCAGTATATTCAGACTTCAAAATGATATTGTAACTTTCATAAATTTGATGTTCAAACTTCAAACTTGAAGTTCATAAACAAGCATTCACAACCTGTCCAGAGGAAGACCACCTCCAAACGAATCTGCGAATGGTGAGCAGTTATGCCCCCGAGCCTCTCGCTTGGGGGTTGGCACATTGCTCAGGTGTTTTGTTACGTATCCTCAGAAGTTTGAAACGGTATTCACCTGTTCGCAGTAGCCGATGCAGACCCCAGGGCTCGATCCCTAGTCTTTACCTTACCTGTGTACAGTATCTGTGTCAAACCCAGGAGTTGAACCCACGACCTGTGTCTCTTCCCACAGTTGGTAGGTTGTTGTAGGTCTGTAGGTTATAGGGGTTCGATCTGTAGACCTGTCGGATAGGAGTCTAGTGAGTTCTAGAAGTCAAGGTCGTAGCTGCTACAGTACCGAAAGGCCAAGTCCACGGTCTTCCGGAAGGTTCGGAAGTGGCCTTTCGGGTACTGCCCACAGTAGACCGAGGCAAGTGGGCAAGTGGTGGAGGCCACCTGTGCTGAGTCAAGCAAGTACCGTATGGGACTGTGTGCACCACGGGCATCGGAAAAGGGGTAGACCAACGAGTTATAGAAGTATAAATCAAGAGGCAGCGACCAGCCATTCATTCATTCCTGCGTAAGCCATGCGGAAGAGCTGCCACAGCGACTTGTGTGAGGTGGTCTGCAGTGAGCCCGAAGACAAAGTGGGCAAGAAGGAGAGCTTAGCCATAGCAATAGGGATAGCAGTGGCTATAGCCGCCATAGCTGATTGGAGAGTGTAGCGTGTGTGGGTGCGTGTGTGTGTACAGTGTGAGGCGTGTGGGATATCCAGGGTGATCCCGTGTGTGTGAACAGAGAGTTGTACAGGCGCTGTTGCGCCATAGCCACTTGAAGTGAGCTTGTATCCGAACTGTGTTCTTGGTTTCCATATCTCTGAGTTTTGAGTGGGCGCTTGTCGCCAGTTTGCTGTGCTACCTGTTTGCATGCATGTGAAGTGTGAAAAGAAGCGAGTCTGATTGCATTGGTATCGGAGCTCGTACCCGCTATTCCACGCGCCATCACCATGTGCTGCAGGGAGAGTCGCGCGCTATAGCCGAAGGCGCCATCGGAGAGGAAGTCCACCATAGCGGATCCGTAGGGTGAAGAAGCCGCCGCGCGCACCTGC